GGAAGTTGGAAACTTTTGTCCTTAATGGCAGCTCACCTGCAGCTCTGTTCTGTTGTGTCTAACTCGCACCTTGTTAGAAGTTACACCAGTTTCAGTGGAGATCTGAGGCTGCAGAAAACGTGTTAAGGGATTTGAGACGTTAGTCATACGATATGGAAGCCATAGCCTATACAGTGGGCCTCCTGAATTCATTACCCTTTATATGCCAATGTGCTTAATGTTTCGATGAGTCCTTTTTTTTTTTCTCCCCCATGGTAAAATTATTTCTCTAATTCAGTTACTACCTCAAATGTTTTCCTAAGAATCTCAAATATCCCCCCTTACATCTGCCATACTCTTTGGAGTCTTTTTTTAAAAAATTGAATTTTAAAACAAACAATCACCTGCAGTGATCTCCACCCAGTCCGGGTCGTCATCCCCGCCCAACCTACAGTATGTGCCAACGACTACCCACCCTATGTGGCAATTTGATGCTTTTTCAGCCATTCCTGAGACTAGAAACTGTCGATGTGCCCTTGAGCAAGGCACTTAACCCTAATTGCTCCTGTAAGTCGCTCTGGATAAGGGCGTCTGCTAAATGACTAAAATGTAAATGTTTTTTTTTTTTTTTATGTAGAAACAGGCTACCTGAGGGCAATACCAGAACAAATGGTCTATTGATTCTGTATATTCGCAAACAAAAATCTGCAGAGCTGCGATGGTTGTATTCCCCAAAATATTCAACATTTTGTTGGTGGCAAGAATTCTGTACAATAATTTTTTTGCTGAAAAGCACAAAGTCTTGAATCTTGCGTCGTTTTTTTTATATCAACTCATACACCCCCTGTAACCATGGAATCGGTACATCAAAAATCTCTTCTCAGCTACTTTGTGATCTGTATGGCGCAGCTGTCAACATCCTGGTCCTCAAATGAAACTGGTCATACTCATTTTGATTCTTCTGCCAGTTTTGATCCTTTACATTGGGCAGACAGATAAGTTCCCAGCATGCCACTTGCCTCCTCCATTTTGGGGGAAATGCTGTGATCTATTGGAATGTCATCTTGGATTGAGCAGACCTTCCCATGCAGTTCTGATAGCTCCATGTCAGACATGAGCAGTGAATTTCAAACACAAAGACCAGGAAGGTTTTCCAATGCCTCGCGAAGAAAGGGCACCTATTGGTTTATAGTTTATTTTTATTTTTTTAAAGCATGGTTAAGTTATTAATTACACTTTGGATGGTGTATCAATACACCCAGTCACTACAAAGATGCAGGCGTCCTTCCTAACTCAGTTGCCGGAGAGGAAGGAAACCGCTCATGGAATTCACCATGAGGCCAATGGTGACTTTAAAACAGTTACAGAGTTTAATGGCTGTGATAGGAGAAAACTGAGGATGGATCAACAATATTGTAGTTACTCCACAATACTAACCTAAATGACAGAGTGAAAAGAAGGAAGCCTGTACAGAATAAATATATTCCAAAACATGCATCCTGATGGCAACAAGGCACTAAAGTAATACTGAAAAATATATAAATAAATACAAAGTGTTATGATTGGGGCAAATCCAACACAACACATTACTGAGTACCACTCTCGATATTTTCAAGCATAGTGGTGGCTGCATCATGTTATGGGTATTCTTGTAATCGTTAAGGACTGGGGAGTTTTTCAGGAAAAAAATTAATTGAATGGAGCTAAGCACAGGGCAAAATCCTAGAGGAGAACCTGGTTGTCTGCTTTCCACCAGACATTGGGGAGATGAATTCACCTTTCAGTAGGACAATAATCTAAAACACAAGGTCAAATCTACAATGAAGTTGCTTACCAAGAAGACAGTGAATGTTCCTGAGTGGCCGAGTTAGTGTTTTGACTTAAATCTACTTGAAAATATATGGCAAGACCTGAAAATGGTTGTCTAGCAATAATCAACAACCAATTTGACAGAGCTTGAAGAATTGTGAAAATAATAATAATAATAATATTTGTTATGGATCCCCATTAGTTCCTGCCAAGGCAGCAGCTACTCTTCCTGGGGTTTATTATGGATCCCCATTAGTTCCTGCCAAGGCAGCAGCTACTCTTCCTGGGGTTTATTATGGATCCCCATTAGTTCCTGCCAAGGCAGCAGCTACTCTTCCTGGGGTTTATTATGGATCCCCATTAGTTCCTGCCAAGGCAGCAGCTACTCTTCCTGGGGTTTATTATGGATCCCCATTAGTTCCTGCCAAGGCAGCAGCTACTCTTCCTGGGGTTTATTATGGATCCCCATTAGTTCCTGCCAAGGCAGCAGCTACTCTTCCTGGGGTTTATTATGGATCCCCATTAGTTCCTGCCAAGGCAGCAGCTACTCTTCCTGGGGTTTATTATGGATCCCCATTAGTTCCTGCCAAGGCAGCAGCTACTCTTCCTGGGGTTTATTATGGATCCCCATTAGTTCCTGCCAAGGCAGCAGCTACTCTTCCTGGGGTTTATTATGGATCCCCATTAGTTCCTGCCAAGGCAGCAGCTACTCTTCCTGGGGTTTATTAAAGATCCCCATTAGTTCCTGCCAAGGCAGCAGCTACTCTTCCTGGGGTCCAGCAAAATTAAGGCAGTTATACATTTTAAAAACATTACAATACATTCATAACTGATTTCACAACATATTAATATCAAATGTAAATATTAAGTGTGTGCAAATGTTACACAATCCAGGTGTGCAAAGCTCTTAGAAACTTACCCAGAAAGACTCACAGCTGTAATCGCTGCCAAAGGTGATTCCAACATGTATTGACTCAGGCGTGTGAATACTTATGTAAATGAGATATTTATGTATTTCATTTTCAATAAATGTGAAGAAATATCAAAAAATGTTTTTCCACTTTGTCATCATTGAGTGTTCTGTGTAAATGGCTGAGGGGAAAAATCTATTTAATTAATTTTGAATTCAGGCTGTAACACAATGTGGAGTACTTTCTAAATGCACTGTCACTCTACTATTCCAATTTACAATATCATTTTAAAACAAAATACCTTTCTCAAACATATTTTCCATAAATACAGGTATTCTATCAACCAGTACATTTTGAGTTTAACCATAATATTTGTTGTAATATTTGTTCTGTCTTTTCTGGGGGATGAAATTGAAATAATTGTAACCATTTCTTTATTGCCTGTTTTGAGAAAGAGATACTTTTGAACGAGGTTCATTTTAAATTAAACCAAAACGATAAGTGCCAATCTGCACAAAGACAAAAAAGGCCATTTTGGAACAAGGGCTTTTCTTAGTATTCTGTATAGGTGTAGTCCCGTGTAGCTCAGTTGGTAGGGCATGGCGCTTGCAACGCCAGGGTTGTAGGTTCGATCCCCGGGACCATCCATATACGTAAAAATGTATGCGCGCATGACTGTAAGTCGCTTTGGATAAAAGCGTCTGCTAAATGGCATATTATTATTATTATTTGTGGGTTCGATTCCCACGGGGGGCCAGTATGAAAAATGTATGCACTCACTTAACTGTAAGTCTCTCTAGATAAGAGCGTCTGCTAAATGACTAAAATGTAAATGTAAGCTTTTAGTGAGAGGTTTAGTGCTTTTAATATTTACTCATCTCAGGACTCATCCTGATTACGTAATCTCAAAAATAGCAACAAAAAAAATCAAACATCCCATTGTTCAGCTGAAAATTAAGAGAATCATTTATTTATTTTTGTCAATGGATCAATGGATACGTCCTCGGAACACTACCCTCCCTTTCTTGTGTGGAATAGTATTGACTGTAATCTGTGTTCCGGTTGGTCGAGGACAGAGATTAATGACCAGTAGAATGCTTGCTTTAATCCCATGTGGCCTAACCAAGAGGTATCTGTAAATCTTGCAATATTCCCTGAATTGCTTAAGTTAATAACCAGCTGCATGAACAAAGAGTGAAAAAAACATACAGGCGTTGTACCAAATTACACCCTATTCCCTATAAAGTGCACCAGGCCCCTGGTCAAAAGAAGTGCACTATGTAGGGAACAGGGTACCATTTGGGATGCAGCCACAGATAATATATTTGCTGTATGTAGATGAATACATTAATGTAAGGGAGTGAAACTGACTCCAGAGCCATGGGAAGATATCAGAGGGCAAGCACCCTGTGAGTTTACTCTGAGTGTACAAAACATTAGAAACACCTTCCTAATATTGAGTTGCTCCCCCCCCTTTTGCCCTCAGAACAGCCTTAATTCGTCAGGGCATGGACTCTACAGGGTGTCGAAAGCGTTCCACAGGGGATGCTGGTCCCATGTTGACTCCCAATGCTTTCCACAGTTGCGTTAAGTTGGCTGGATGTCCTTTGGGTGGAGGACCGTTCTTGATACACACGGGAAACTGTTGAGCGTGGAAAAACCCAGCAGAGTTGCAGTTCTTGACTCAAACCGGTGGGCCTGGCACCTACTACCATACCCTGTTCAAAAGGCACTTCACACTCTGAATGGCACACATACACAATCCATGTCTCAACTGACTCTTGGCTTAAAAGTCCTTCTTTAACCTGTCTCCTCCCCTTCATCTACACTGATTTTAAAGGGGATTTAACAAGTGACATCAATAAGGGATCAAAGCTTCCACCTGGATTCACCTGGTCAGTCGTATGTCATGGAAAGAGCAGGTGTTCCTAATGATTTGTACATAACGCCATATTACTTGCCATTGTCGCTAGATTTCTAGAAACGATTGGCTACTTATTGCCTTTCAACCCGTCATCAATACACTTGTCTAACTTACTCACCAGTCACTCACCTAATAATGAAATCAGTCTTTGCATTAATATGTAGGCCCTAGTCCTAATCTGGAAGGAACCCAGGAGACTCGCCCTGACGATGGTGTTTTCCGTCTCCCAACGAACTGTAGCGTTTTGAAAAATGCCTTCTCCTCTGCTGTCTCTACGGTGTAATGCACGGTAATGACTCGGCAGCATTGTTTAGTGTGGTCCTGGTGACTGGGTCTTATCCTTCAGGACCAATCATTATCAGTAGGCCATTAGGAAAATGAAGACCGACGCGGGGCAGGAGCAATGTGACAAAGTGCTGTGGTTGTGCCTGTTAACCCTGACTGTACCTCAGTTTACAGTTTATCTAGACAATACCTTTGTGGTCTGATGCTTGTGGCGTTGTGATAAAGTGCTGTATCGGTTTAATCCAGACCGAAGGTACGATATCTCTGTGGTTTGTGATGGCGTTGGCTTGGCGTGACAAAGTGCTGCGTCTGTACAGTTTAATCCAGATACAGCATGAATGAACACTTGGTCGGGGGCCATCAGCACTGACTGTGTCTCCTGTGACCCAGTGCGGTGTCTGTTGTGACCCAGTGCGGTGTCTGATGTGACCCAGTGCGGTGTCTCCTGTGACCCAGTGTGGTGTCTGATGTGACCCAGTGCGGTGTCTGATGTGACCCAGTGCGGTGTCTGATGTGACCCAGTGCGGTGTCTCCTGTGACCCAGTGCGGTGTCTGATGTGACCCAGTGCGGTGTCTGATGTGACCCAGTGTGGTGTCTCCTGTGACCCAGTGCGGTGTCTGATGTGACCCAGTGTGGTGTTCTATTAATATTCCAGACGGCGTAAGACTCGCTCAGCAACACCAAAGCCCCCCTGTCTTCTAACTGAAACCAATAGAAGCCTAACTCTTACATTTTACATTTTAGTCATTTAGCAGACGCTCTTATCCAGAGCGACTTAGTTAGTGAGTGCATACATTTTATATACTGGAACTCTACTGTCAAGGACTCGGGTTGTCTTATTTTGAGAGATGTTTTCAAAGGCCAACGGTGCTGCGCTGTGATGATGTCACTGGGACATGTTTCTACAGAAGACTGGTTGATTGACAGTCAGTGGTTGTGGAGGTGACACGTCGTGAAGGCGTGGCAGTTTGTAATGTAGAGATTGGAGGGTGTTGACAGTTTTAAAGGTGGCGGTGCAGTCAAACACTTGATTTTCCTGTTTTAAAATAATAACATTTCCACACTGAGGTTGAAATAACACTCTGAAATTGTGGAAAGTATGATAATGCCCTTTTAGTGTAAGTCTGGAATTTCAGCCTGTTCAGGTGGGATGGAGTTTTTGGCCCAGAGCATGACATCACAATCTGATTATACTGACCAATGACCAGTCATCTTTTATTTGCATGTGTATCCTCCTACTCTGAAGGGGGGGTCGGTTCTACAGCAGTGCCATTCAAACTTTTTCAAATCTAATAACACAGCCTTAAAATGGGTACTTTTTTTTTTTTTTTTTTTTTACTTCAACAAATAACCTTATCAAAATTAAGAATCTGCTTTAGAGTCTAGACAATCATATCCGCCAATCAGGGCTGTGTATGTAAATATATTTACATTTGTATCAACACGCCCACACGATCAGACTGAGCATTTTAATGGTGGCTCAGGGAAATAAATGATTGCAAATATATTTCATGAAATAAAATGCACACAGTGATTTATGAGACATACCTGTGATTATTTAAAGTAGCAGGCAGTAGGGAAACATGGCTTATATTTGAAATGTGGCAATAAACTATTCTTACTTTTTCATTCCTAATGTGTTTCTGTAGGAGAGCAGTGGGCCAGACTCCCAGCAGGTGACGGAGAAGGAGAACGGGGAAGTTACAGCACCAGCTACAAAGGTTGCGACCCCTGAACCTGATGTAGAGGCCATCACCAAGACAGTCACCAGCACCCTCTCCATGCAGGAGTACTTTGCCCAGCGGATGGCTCAGCTAAAAAAGGGTCGTGGCGAGTCTCCCACCGCAACCTCGTCACCAGAGAGCAGTGATGGGCAGCAAGTCCCGGCTGATTTTGTCACTGACGACACGGAGGAACTCACGTCGAAGAAGAAGAAGAAGAAGAAGAAGAGAAAGAGAGAGAGGGAAGAGGATGAAGTGGTGGTAAAGGAAGAGTGTGACGTAGCTCCCGTGTCGGAGGAGTGCGAGAAGAAAAAGAAGAAGAAGAAGAAAAAGCGGGCGGAGAAAGGGGTGTTGGCTGAAGACTGCAGCGCCACCACTGGTGTGGAGCAGAACTGCGAGGACGACCAAACTGTAGACGTAACGGAGTCTGAGGTTGTAAATAAGAAAAGGAGGAATCAGGAGGAGGAGGTTGCAGTGGAGGACGAGGAGGAGGTGATTGTGGTAAAAGAGAAGAAATCTAAAAACAAAAAGAAGAGGAAAGAGCATTTGTAGAAATCTAGAACTGTCTTCTCTTGTCCTCTTGGAGTGTGCACCCTATTCCCTATGTAGTGCAGTACCCCATAGGGCTCTGGTACAAAGTAGTGCACTATAGAGAACAGGGTGCCCATTTGGGACACACAATAGTCCTCAGGTTTCTCTGCTACAGTACAGCAGGCCTCTGGCCATACATGGAAGACCTCGGTCTATGCACAGAGTGATATTCCCATCAGGTTGTTTGGACTGAATATCTGCTGGGAGTAATAAAGGGAGGCCTACGTTTCTGGAGCCATGCAGGATGAGTTTGGTGCTTTCCCAGAGATACACTTTTAGAATGATCATTGTGACCCTATGTTCTCTGGATGTCCCCAATAGTCTCCTTCAGTCCCCCTGTAGTCTCCTTTAGTCCCCCTGTAGTCTCCTGTAGTCCCCCTATAGTCTCCCTGTAGTCCCTGTGTAGTCTCCTTTAGTCCCCCTGTTGTCCCCCTGTAGTCTCTGCTCAATATAGTCTCCCTATAGTCTCTGCTCCATATAGTCTCCCTGTAGTCTCCCTGTAGTCTCCCTGTAGTCCCCCTGTAGTCTCCCTGTAGTCTCTGCTCAATATAGTCTCCCTATAGTCTCTGCTCCATATAGTCTCCCTGTAGTCTCCCTGTAGTCTCCCTGTAGTCCCCCTATAGTCTCCCTGTAGTCTCCCTATAGTCTCCCTGTAGTCTCCCTGTAGTCTCCCTGTAGTCCCCCTTTAGTCTCCCTTTAGTATTCCTATAGTCTCTGCTCCCTATAGTATTCCTGTAGTCTCCCTGTAGTCTCTGTATGACTATATGATGAGCTTTGATGAATTGATATTCGACAGCCATTATAATACAGGGCAGGGGACCTTTCATAGTAATGGACTGATGTGTGTTCGATATCACAATAACGTGTTCTCTTTTTAATCAGATGAAATCAAGCTGTCGGTGTTGCTGATCAATAAATCAAACTCAAAATGAGAACTGTGTTTTTATCTGTTTGAAGAATTTTCTATATTGGCTTTTTGCCTACTGACATTCAGCACATCCAGTACACAGGCCTATATACTGTCCTTACTATAGTCCATATGTTAATGTTTGTAGTGTCTAATGTTTTGTCTGAACCAGGCCTGATACACCACAATTGTGTGTTGGCTAATCACCTTATCGATCGATCCATTAACTGCCTCATCTCATGTTTATATGGATCAGCTACAACATTGTCCTCCATGGGCTCCCGAGTGGCGCAGCGGTCTAAGGCACTGCATCTCAGTGCTAGAGGCGTCACTACAGACCCCGTGTTCGATCGCGGGCTGTATCACAACCGGCCGTGATCGGGAGTCCCATAGGGCGTCGCACAATTGGCCCAGCGTGGTCCGGGTTAGGGGAGGGTTTGGCCGGGGGGGGGGGCTTTACTTGCCAAATCGCGCTCTAGTGACTCCTTGTGGCGGGCCGGGCGCCTGCAGGCTGACCTCGGTCGTCAGTTGAACGGTGTTTCCTCCCGACGCATTAGTGCGGTTAGGCGGGTCGTGTTTCGGAGGACGCATGACTTTGACCTTCGCCTCCCGAGCCCGTTGGGGAGTTGCAGCGATGAGACGAGATCGTAGCTGGGGAGAAAAAGGGGGTAAAATACAATAAAATATCTTTACTGTTATATATAGTCCTCCATATCAGTTGTATTTCTGTTTAGCCAACATAGCGTGGTGCGACATGTTGAATGGTACAGTCTATGTAGGTTGTGCTTTGTGTGACTTGTTGAATGGTACAGTACTTGTCTATTCAGGTTGTGTTTTCATTAGTACCCAATATGCCTTTTGAGGGAATAGACCGACAGAATAAATACACTCCCTTAGCAACTCCCTTAGCAACTCCCTTAGCATCTGACAGTTTCAACACTCTGTTGTGTCATTTATCAAGTTATGAAATACAAACCAAACCCTAATAACAAGCTGGTCCTGTTTGTCATCTGAGTGGGTGATCAACTTTATAAGGAAACTATCTCCAGTGGGTTAGAGAATGGTGCTGGTGACACCAAGGGTAGTGGGATTGGATAAAAGCGTCTGCTAAATGGCATATATATACACTACCGGTCAAAAGTTTTAGAACACCTACTCATTCAAGGGTTTTTCTTTATTGTTTTACTATTTTCTACATTGTAGAATAATAGTGAAGACATCAAAACTATGAAATAACACATATGGAATCATGTAGTAACCAAAAAAGGGTTAAACAAATCAAAATATATTTTTATATTTGAGATTCTTCAAATAGCCACCCTTTGCCTTGATGACAGCTTTGCACACTCTTGGCATTACATTACTGTTACACCAAAAACATTTATTGTGAAATTTTAGGATGGTTAGCTGAAATAGTAAAACAAAAAAAAGCTAATGCACCCAAAACTCATCAACGCCCTCCTCTAGGCAGAATGGGCTTTGATTCAAACAAACTACAGGAAGGTTATTATTTAACACCATCTGAAACTACAGGAAGGTTATTATTTAACACCATCTGAAACTACAGGAAGGTTATTATTTAACACCATCTGAAACTACAGGAAGGTTATTATTTAACACCATCTGCTCTAAACAGTAATTGAAGAAGATTTAAAATGCCATATTCCCATGAAACTGATTGAGATCAAATGATTGCCATGCTGCAGATGCAGTTTGGACGTTAAAGAATTCTCATGAGCGATTGACAGGGACGACGGCCTGTTTTGAAATTAGGAGAACGTCTTAACTTGGCGTTTTTGACGGTATGAAAAAATATAACGTTTTCTTACGTTTATGTCATTTAGCAGACGCTCTTATCCAGAGCGACTTACACATTGGTGCATTCAACTTACAGTGGGGAGAACAAGGGGGGGGGGGGGGGGGGGGGGGGTTACTTTATACTTACATTTACATTTTCTTGAGACAATATGTTTGGGCACAGGAAGACGTTGCAATTGGAGGATGCATTTTATGCATAGGCCTGTTCCACAATGATATTCAATAGGCTACAACTGTCGGTACGAACTTTGACGAATAATTACCTCATTTACATTTGTATTGCGCTCCAGCACCTAAAAAAGCAGCACTACACCATGAGCCAAACATTTTTTTATTAATGTAGGCTACACTGTCCCTCGAATGTCCCGCAAAATCATCCTGTTGTCACGCCTTCGGGCAATTTTTATGTGGTCACCCTAGTAACGGTCTGACCACTTTTTTTATTGTTTGAACTACAAATTGCCCCTTTAACATCCAAACAGGACACAGAAGACACTTCTACAGAAAGAAGACAAAAAAGAAACCTCTCCTCTCTGCAGCCTGACTGTTACTGACCATCATGTCTCTCTATAGCCTGACTGTTACTAACCATCATGTCTCTCTGCAGCCTGACTGAGACTAACCATCATGTCTCTCTGCAGCCTGAATGTTACTAACCATCATGTCTCTCTATAGCCTGACTGAGACTAACCATCATGTCTCTCTGCAGCCTGACTGTTACTGACCATCTTGTCTCTCTGCAGCCTGAATGTTACTGACCATCTTGTCTCTCTGCAGCCTGACTGTTACTGACCATCTTGTCTCTCTGCAGCCTGACTGAGACTAACCATCATGTCTCTCTATAGCCTGACTGTATCAATAGCCTGACTGTATCAATAGCCTGACTGTATCAATAGCCTGACTGTATCAATAGCCTTACTGTATCAATAGCCTGACTGTACTGACTGTATCAATAGCCTGACTGTATCAATAGCCTTACTGTATCAATAGCCTGACTGTATCAATATCCTGACTGTACTGACTGTATCAATAGCCTGACTGTATCAATAGCCTGACTGTATCAATAGCCTTACTGTATCAATAGCCTTACTGTATCAATAGCCTGACTGTATCAATAGCCTGACTGTATCAATAGCCTGACTGTACTGACTGTATCAATATCCTGACTGTATCAATAGCCTGACTGTATCAATAGCCTTACTGTATCAATAGCCTGACTGTATCAATAGCCTGACTGTATCAATAGCCTTACTGTACTGACTGTATCAATAGCCTGACTGTATCAATAGCCTGACTGTATCAATAGCCTGACTGTATCAATATCCTGACTGTATCAATAGCCTGACTGTATCAATAGCCTGACTGTATCAATAGCCTGACTGTATCAATAGCCTGACTGTATCAATAGCCTGACTGTATCTATAGCCTGACTGTATCAATAGCCTGACTGTACTGACTGTATCTATAGCCTGACTGTATCAATAGCCTGACTGTATCTATAGCCTGACTGTATCAATAGCCTGACTGTATCAATATCCTGACTGTATCAATAGCCTGACTGTATCAATAGCCTGACTGTACTGACTGTATCAATAGCCTGACTGTATCTATAGCCTGACTGTATCAATAGCCTGACTGTACTGACTGTATCTATAGCCTGACTGTATCAATAGCCTGACTGTATCAATAGCCTGACTGTATCAATAGCCTGACTGTATCTATAGCCTGACTGTATCAATAGCCTGACTGTATCAATAGCCTGACTGTATCAATAGCCTTACTGTACTGACTGTATCAATAGCCTGACTGTATCAATAGCCTGACTGTATCAATAGCCTGACTGTATCAATAGCCTGACTGTATCTATAGCCTGACTGTATCAATAGCCTGACTGTATCAATAGCCTGACTGTATCAATAGCCTGACTGTACTGACTGTATCTATAGCCTGACTGTATCAATAGCCTGACTGTATCAATAGCCTGACTGTATCAATAGCCTGACTGTATCTATAGCCTGACTGTATCAATAGCCTGACTGTATCAATAGCCTGACTGTATCAATAGCCTTACTGTACTGACTGTATCTATAGCCTGACTGTATCAATAGCCTGACTGTATCAATAGCCTGACTGTATCAATAGCCTGACTGTATCTATAGCCTGACTGTATCAATAGCCTGACTGTACTGACTGTATCTATAGCCTGACTGTATCAATAGCCTGACTGTATCAATAGCCTGACTGTATCAATAGCCTGACTGTATCAATAGCCTGACTGTATCAATAGCCTGACTGTATCTATAGCCTGACTGTATCAATAGCCTGACTGTATCAATAGCCTGACTGTATCAATAGCCTTACTGTACTGACTGTATCTATAGCCTGACTGTATCAATAGCCTGACTGTATCAATAGCCTGACTGTATCAATAGCCTGACTGTATCTATAGCCTGACTGTATCAATAGCCTGACTGTACTGACTGTA